TCAAGAACATGATGAACTTTGCCAGAAATAGAAAAGAAAAATCAAAGTGTTTGCGGAATTTAGAAAAGAGTATGAGAAGGATTAGGTCTCAAGAACATAAATGCTCTGATAAGCATTATGCTCTCTATTATCCAATCAACATTTGGCAAAGAAGTATTTAGAAAAGCATTTACCAAATGCAAATGCTCTTCAAATGCTATTTGCTCAATGCTCTCATATAGAGCTTTTGGGAAAGCATTTGCATATAGAAAATATAAAACTTAATAATATTTATATATAATTAATTTATTTTTGTTTAAAAATATAAAAAATATTTTTATAATTGAATATAAATTTATATTTTAAAAATAAAAATAAAAAATTATAATTAGTTTTTTTTGAAAGAAAAATATTTCACATTTAAAATAGAATATACTTTATATAATTACAGATATCATTCATTATTTTTAATAACAAACATAACATAATATAATTTATATATTATCGATATAAACATATTATTTAGACACTAATAAATAAATTACATATTAACTTTTATGATAATTTTATATATGAGTAATTTAGTACTCTGCCAATAAATAAATAATAATAATTTATATATAAATTATAATTAATTTATATATAAAATATAATTTAATTATTTATTTATTTAATAATTATTATAATTTTATAATAATTAATTAAATTATAACTATAATTTTATATATGAGTAATATGTTATATCCAAAATAATTTAATATTTTAAAAAAAAATAAAATTTTAAATATATTTTATATAATAAAAATTCATTATTATTAACAAAATTATATATTATTAATATATATTATATATACATATTATTTTAAAAGAAATATATTATTTTACTAACTATTATGACAATTGTAAAATCGTATACTGCTAATGCTCTGTCAATCACTTTATTAAAAACTTTAATGAAAGCATACAGCTTCTTTAGCATACTGCTTCTGCAGCATACTGCTACTGCTTTATCATCTGCTGTACCAATCGAGGTTTAGAGAATTAGAGAGTTTCTGGATGAGATTATGCTTGAGATTATTCAAGAGAATAAGATAGAATTGAGAGAGAGAGTTTAGGGAAGAATGATAAGCTTTATTCCCATACTAATTTAGTTGTTATAGGAGTTCTATAAATATAATAGCGAGTTGATAAGTAGTACAATATGAACTAATAAACAATAGAGCTCTAGTCTAGGTCAGAGCACGTCCAGCTAGACGGAAAGGAACAGCTTCTTCTTCTCTTCCCTTCTTGCCAAGACATGTGACTCTGGTTTGGCATAAAGCCCCAACAGTTCCTCCTACTTGCTTCCACATGTATATTTAACTCCAAAGCTTAAAGAATATTAGACCAGATATTTAAATTGGTGTTCCCTCCTTTACTTGCCTTTCAACACTTCATTGCATTTCACTACACTTCACTGCACTTCGCTGCATTTCACTGTACTTCACTGCACTTCACTGTACTTCACTGCACTTCACTTTATTACTATTGTTCTTGTTTATTACTTCATCTCAACATATACATCAATGAAACATTGAGCCACACCAAGTATTAATATAATCAGCTTAGCCAATCTCTCCTTCATTACATAAACATAAACGTGTAATCCTACGATTTAAACCCCATCCCACGTTATAATCAGAGAACTCTCCAGCTAATGGTTCTGATCGTAACCCATAGTCCATATCATCGACTATGGTCTGCACCTCCTCCAAGCTGTATATCTTTTCATGCACACAATATTATCACACTGCTAACGTGTGTGAGACTGTAAAAGCACACACACTTGAGAAGACTTTGGTAACATCCAACAGTATTTGGTGGAAGAAAACCTTGGATCACATCTCCCTGTAATTGAATGTCGTAAGTTGGTTGATTTAAACAGTAGAACATTGTGACGAATATAAACAAAATAAAAATAACTAAGAGATTAAAGAGGATAACAAGAGGAAGGTAGAATGAAACAATAACTAAGAGATTAAAGAGGTCATTGATTGATAAAGAGGAGCAATCGCTAATGGAAACTACAGAGCAACCGAGATGGTGAAGACGAAGTGGAAGATTCGGGGATGATCAAATCTCTACGATCCAGACAAAATTATGGTTGGGCGAGATTGGGCTAGCTATCGGCCGCAACGAAAAGTAATAATAGCCCAAACGTAAGGTTAGCTTCATTTAAGTTGACAGAAGCAGTAGTTACATGGAAAAATATAAGTATATAATTAGACGATTTTTAAATGACGTAGACATGCTCAGAGTTGATTATATCTAATTTTTAGTATTATAAGATTTTTGACAAAAAAACAAATTTTATGATCATTAAATGGAAATAAAGGACCATTGACCAATATTTTTGACCAAAACTTTGATTATGATTTTGACTAAAGAAAATAGATGAAATTTTGTAGATTTTGTGATGATGAAATTTCATTTAAATTTTCTTGATCGGACCCTAGACCAGATTTTGGAGGGGTAAAATCCTCATCCAATAGACAAGAGGCGTTACTTTGACCATGAAATTAAAAGTTTATTGTTTTGCATTTTTTTTGTTTTTTTTTGTAACAATTTGCATAATTCCAAACATCTTCAATTCCTTTGAAAATTAGATAAAAGCTATTGACATCGCCATAACCAAGGTCGCGTCTTTTTGGACTCATTATGGGGATGACTGGTAGTTGTTGTAGGTGCTTTCCACGGTCCTATTTATTTCTACAGCAGTAAATTCAGAGCAATCAAGCTTTAAATTTTTTTTTTGAAATCATAGCTCTTGAAATAACCTACAGCTATACAAGTGTTCTGCAGAGCCAAATATCCAAAATAATTTTTTTAGTGCTTTCCAAAAAATCTACAGCAATAAATTTAAAATCACAGCAAAAAGTCTAGAGATTTTTTTCTACAGCAAAAACTTTAAAGTTACAGCCATTACCAATTGGACCCTATGTTTTTATTGTATAATAAAAAAAAATCTGATCATTAGAAATGTAAGATAACCAGAACTCGGTTAGGAGAAGCGTTTTTAACCGAACTGGAATCGAAGGCGTCTTAAACTACCAAATGCTCTACCACTGAGCTATGGATGGAATTTTATTCTTACAATAATAAAATTTAAATATTTTATAGATTTAATTGAAATGATGCTATGGAAGTACCGTAGCATAGTGGCTAAGGTTTAAAAGTTTTTATATCTAGGTCTTAGGTTCAAAATCGAGACAATGTAATTTCTTACAGATTATAGGATGGAAGCTTATCGAAGGTTGTAGACTACTGCAGGCAGAACTATTCATTGTGATCACCACTTCAGAGTGGGTATATTCACCAAAGATGTCGTACATTCAGAATTGTTCGTTGACCCAAGTGTTCCGAGGAGAGCTTCTTCATGAAATCATCCATGGAGTTGTTCATCAAAATTGCATATGTTGCAAGTAGTTGATCATCATATATAATAGAGTTAAAGGTTATATGCTAATGTAATTGTTATCCAATATTAAGAAAAATATAGAAATGCTGATTCAAACACACATTGTGCAAGTTAATCAACCCTTTTACACGTTACCCACAACATTCTTATTTTGAGAGTCACCATTTTCTTCACACACACACACACACACACACACCAATTTATAAGATTTGGTGAGGAAATTGTTTTTGAGGGTATCTGGATAGGTGGCTCTGTTCTCTTCAGGAGATGATGAGTTTATTTCCTACTTCCACTTTTCTATATATTTTTTTTTGAAACATCCACTTTTCTATTTTTATAGTCGATTTTTATCTGGAGACAATGCAGTTTATGGTTATTAAGTGGAAACTATATTTTGATCTGCGCTTCTAAAGCGCCTAATATTTTATGATGAATTTTTTTGTTAACAACGTTACAAATATTTTCTTAACTGGAAAGTATTATTTAGTTTGGGTTTTAAAAAATGTCCAAATTTAAAAACCCGCAAAAATTTGCTAAAATCTGAGACTAACTGATTGAACCGACGGATGTTAAATATGTAATCCAGTTTGATTTTAATTGTTATGGTTTCATAATTTGTCACCTTTTAAACTGACTTTTAAATTTCATTTTTTGCAACGTTTATTAAATTAGAATGTTTCTACAAACAAAATTGTAGAGAAAGAGGTATATAAATAATTAAGAACTTTAGATATGTTTTGAAATTGTTTAATTGGGTAAAAAGATTATAAATGCTAAAAAATAGAAGTAGGTAGTTTTAATGGCAATAAAGTGTAATTAGATGGTTATTTTAATTTAAAATCTATTTAATAAATTATTTAATAAAAAAGACATGAATTATTTAAATGTAAGGCTATTAAATATTCTAGTGGCATTGTTTTGTAAATACATTACAAAATCTACGAGTTTTTTTTTTATCTGTACTTCTGTTTGTTTTAATAAGATAGATATTTATCACATTTAATGGTCATTAAGACCATTGACCAAGATCTTGACCATGACTTTGCCCAAGATCTTGACTAAAATAAATTGATTATTCCCTATGTTTCAAAAAGATTAACATTTTAGAAAAAAATATTTGTTTCAAAATGATCTATTTTATACATTTTCAATGTATGAATTAATGATAAATTGTAGATTCCAAAAATTTCAATTGTGTTTCTTAAAATTCTATTGGTTAAAAAATACATGAAATTGTTATCTACAAAAAATGATGCATTGGTAATCAAAGTTTTATGTCTTTTCTTAATATGTGTAGAAAATCTAAAACATTCAACTTTTTGAAACAGATGGAGCAGATATTTATGGAATTTTTGTCATCATGGTCTTCAATTAGCTTTTTTAGACCGGACTATAGAACAAATTTTGAAAAGGTGAAACAGGTAAGAAGAGTTACATTGACCATGGAATAAAACATTTGTTTTTTTTTGCATAATACCAACTTCTTCAAAAAATAAAAATAAAAACTTCTTCAAAGAGTTGGTATAATATATATGTATCTCGTGTCTCTCCAGTGTTGACGAAAATGGCATTTGGCTTTTTCGCAATGTGGTTCATTTTATTATGCATATGTTGTAGCCTTATGATAAGCTATAACCATGGCATCGTCGAAGCAGCCGGGACACTAAAAAATGTTGAAGATTTGGATACAGAGCAAGAACTTAAGATTATTAACAAGCCTGCTGTTAAACTCATCAAGGTTCATCATCATCTCACTCATCGTAATTATATACATGTTATATCTTCAAGATACAAGGATTATATTACATATAAACTGGTAAAAGAGTTTGATAGTTGCTGTTACTTCCAAAATCTGCAGTCTATAGATGGTGAACGGTATGGGTGCGTGGATTTCTGCAAACAACCAGGATTTGACCACCCATCTATGATGAATCACACAGTCTTTCATGATAAGGTATACTGATCTAATTTGTATTATCTTAATAATTAATCTAACATAAGTTCTTACAACATATGCAAAATCAAATCAAATTATATAAAAGGATATGAGTTTTACCTGAAATTAGTTCTAACTCGGTTTGATTCTGACTATTTTACCAAGATATTATGATTCTTCATGTGCGTAGATGCGTATGATATCATACCTCGAAGGATCGAGAAAGCATAGAGAGAAACTCAGTAAACAAAACTTTGGTCACTTATGGGAGAATGGCGTAGGTTGCCCTATTGGTACGGTTCCTATACGTAGAGTCACTAAAATGGATCTCTTGAGATTGAAAACGCTCGGTGCGGACAAATCTAATCCTCGTGGTTCATGGAACAATGCTTTTGAACCTATGCTTTCCAGTAATGATCATCACGTAAGTGTACTTTCTTAAAAAAATTATTTTACAACTAGAACTGTCAAATATATAGTAAAGTAACATCTACACTATATCTTTTTTGTTTTTGTAACACAACATCTACACTATATCTATAGTGCCTATATCCAGACTTACAAAAACAGTGTATTTATAAGTTCTGTTTATGAATTTAAAGTTTGATGTTATCTGATCAAAAATTTTAATACAGTTTTAATACCAAATGATTTGAAAATAATTTAATGAAGTTTAAATAAATCAGTAGAAGTACAAAATCCAAGCTGACAAACTGTATTAATTATTATTTAGACATTTTTAAAAAAATTCAAGCATAAATCTGTAATGATTTTGATATCATAAAGTTAACTTAAATCTATGATCGGAGAACACCCATTAATTTTCCAATCGTTTTATTCAGTTTGCTGTGACACGGACAAAAAGGGAACCAAAGATTTACAATGGAGCGGGAATGCGTGTTGCTATTTTTACTCCTCTGGTTGGACCAAATCAAATCAGCTCTACTCGATTGCACGTTCAGATCGGAAGTGAATTCATCCAAGCAGGTTGGACCGTAAGTCAATTAATATAAGCTGTATTTTTAAATACTCGCGTAATTTGGTGTGCATTTCTTTCATTTTCTTAATTAATGTATTCCAATCCTATTGTTTGTTCATTTTAGGTAAACCCCCTATTGTACCAGGGAGTCACAACTCGGCTATTCGTTTTTACTAACGTGAGCGAGTTATACTATATTTCTTTTCTATTTTATTTCTTTATACACGAACCGCGTCACGAGTCATGCATGGCGTTTGTTTGTGTTCATAGTGAATAATAGTTGCATTTTACTTTCATGTATGCATTAACGAATTAACTCAATGATTAGTGAGCGTTTGAGACTTTCATGATTAATACATTCAAGCATAAGTGCATAACCTTCTGAATCAAATATTATGTGTTTTTTTTACAACAAGATAATGTTTTATTAGTGAGGGTTTTATAATATTGATTAAGCATATATAGTCAGCCTTTATTATATTTCCTTCATTTTAATTTATATGTCGTTGTAGAGAAAAAAAATGTTTCAAAATAAGTGTCGTTTTATAATTCTAATACAAAATTTATTAACTTTATAGATTTTTTATTTTTTTATTGGTTGAAATATGGTTATGTGTATAAGTAATGGTGTTTTTATTTCTAAAATATAATGTTTTACTAATCTGTGTGCAAAAACTTAAAACGAAAACTAAAATGAAACGGAGGAAGTATTAGTTATGCATAACTTTTTTAATTTTTTTGAACATATTATAATTAAGCATAATGTTTTCACTTTTTCATATATAGAATTCTGTTTTTCATCATTATTATTTTTTGGATTAGGGGTTTCGCATTTGATCTAAAGTTAACGTTTGATAACCATGAAGATTCCCAACTACTATACATCAAATAGTACTTACATGTTAATTGGTAATGGTTTAATATACAGGCTGGAGGACATCAGTGTTATCATTCCAGATGTCCCGATGGAGCCGGAATGATATTGGTCCGTGAAGATATTGCTCCAGGAATACCTCTTGATCCGCAAAACGTACAAGCTATTGACATCGCCATAATCAAGGTCACTTTTTTTGGATGCATTATGTTTTTATTGTATAGTAAAAAATCTGATCATGAGGCAAGAAAGAACCTGTCCTGGGCATAACCAAATATAACATAAGCTTTGGATCTCCAAAAATTTCCAAGTTCATAAATATATGAAAATTTGCCTCCAAATTGTTAAAAAAAAACCTTTGTTTAAAAATCTTTACTAAATGGTTTATATTCTTCCGAACCTCAGGGCCTTGATAAGTCATGACTAGGGGTAGAGCCATATATTGCGTTATTTTAAAAAGTATGAGTATTATCAGTCCTGAGAATTTGAACAAGTGGATTTTGTTGAGTACAGGACCAAAGCAGCGGGAACTGGTATTTGTACGTGTCGAATGAAGAAATTGGGTTCTGGCCAGCGAGCAGGTTCAAAGAGAGCTCCGGGACAGGGGTAGAATGGGGAGGTGAAGTGTACAGTCCTTTATCATCTCCAAGTCCTCCCATGGGTAACGGACGTTTTCCGGTGGGGAACCCTCACTACGACTCATATATACGTGATATCTCCATTATCGACGAAAATTATAAGACAGATAATACTGTGGGGAACACGGAGTCTTATACGGACAACAGTCATGGTTATAAAGTGAGAGACTCAACAGAAACATGGTGGAAAGTAGGTCATCTTGTCGTTTATGGAGGCCCCGGCAAAATTTAGAGACCATATGTTGTACAAATAAAAGCACCTTCATTTTCGCAGTATTCTTACATGCATGCTATAATGTGTGTGGTAAAATAATAATAATAATAAGATAAGATAATACTGGTCAAGTTTTAACCATCAAAAGGTCAAACTAATTGGAGACCGATTTATATATAGGAACAAGACGTCAAGAACAAAGCTTTATCCGCAAGAAATCGTTAAGAGGATTAAAAACCTAAGATAACCAGAATTTGGTTGGGAGAAGTTTCAATTTTAATTTTTAGAGCATGATTAACCCGGAGTTCTTAAGACGGGGTTTCTAACAGAATTTAAGAAATTGTTTCTTAACTTCCGCTAAGAACTCCATCTTAAGAACCTCGGTTTAATGATGGTCTCAGAGCATAATTATCATAGCACCCCACTTGGGATTGTTTTTTTTTTGTTCGATTTTTAAAAAAAATAAAAAAGAATAAATCGCAGGCCGACATGTGTCGGTAGCAACCGTGAACAGTTCAAACAACAAACAAACCACAGCGCTTGTTTAGCTGTTAGAAGCGTCCGTTTTTTGTGTTTTGAGTGGACCCCATCCCCTAAACAACCCACTAACCACCTGGATATTGGTGTTCTTATCTGCTATAACTACCTTGGCGCAACATCCAATAAACCGGCTTCTTTGTAGTTTCTATGCTTCAAACCATCCTCAGCAGGGCCGGCTAAAAGGAGATGGCAAACAGTGCTCCCGCCCAGGCCCACCTGCAATTTTGGCAAATTTAATAGTATAAAGGGGCTCAAAAAAATTATTTTCTCCTACAGCAAGGGTCTAATTTATTTTAGTTGTATTTATAATGTATAATTTTGATAAATATTTAAAATTAATTAATTATAGGGTCATAAATTTTTTCTAGCCCAGGGGCCCTACATATCGTCGAGCCGGCCCTGGTCCTGAGAAACAACTAATCTCTATATGAATATATTTAGTTACAAAGATAGCGATATCACAAACACACTCACCTTTGCTAGATTTAAGACATCTTCTGCGACATGTTTTAAGAGATCACTGAAATCCTTAACGCTCTAAACCTAAAAAGAAAACTACTCACTAATTTCCACTGAAATTCCTAAACATATGTTAAGTGTTGAGATAAACATGAAAAAAGAAGATAATCAGCAAGAGAAAGTAAGAATACTTAAGAAATGATAAAAAATCAAACTTTAATTCAAAAAAAAAAGAGGTTAGATCTGATAAACTGTGACAACTGGTGATAAAAACTGGCTAAAAATCTGATAAAAGATAAATATTATAGGGTTTTTGCTTTAAAATATTTACTAGATTATGACCCGCGCTTTCAAAACGCAAAACTTGTTCGCTTGCTTAAACCCAATTAAAAACGATTTAAATAATTGTTAAATTTAATTAATTTATTTTTTTAAAGAATTTATAAGCTAATTACAAGTATTGTTGTGTTGATTATATTGTTTATAAATACAGATTTGGTTATTAATTTAGGAAATTAATCCATAAAATTTAGGTTTTTTTTGGCAAATTTGACTCAAAACTCAAAGTCAAACACTAAACTAACTTTTTTTTTTCTTTTGCCCTATTCACCCCACATGTTCACATAATTTATGAAAATGCCATTAAATTTATTTTTTTATTTTCGAAAATGACTTTTTTACTCTCTCAACCTCATCATCTTCAAGCATTTATAAGATTGTCATTGCCATCAATACCCCAACCAGCATGAACAACTAAAAACAACATTTCTTTCACTTTGTCTCCATATTTATCCAAAAAACTCAAGTTTTTAATTCAAATTTTGTTTTTATGGTTAATAGAGCCATTCAAGCATACTATTCTTGGAGGTTACTTTTGTTTGAGGTTATGGGTGGTTGGAGAAGACTCTGTGTGCTAAAGAAGTCATCTCACTAGTTTAAGGTATGAAATTAATTTTTTTTTTTTCCAGATTTGTTCGCATAAAAGACTTACACGTAAGTCATTTGGCTGTAGAAGACTTACAGGTAAGTTTTCTGGTCAAACGGACGACTTACCAGTAAGTCTTCTAGGATAAACGGGTTAGTTTTAAATTTAATTGAATTGTGTCAAATATTTGGTTTTCCTGGACGACTTACCAGTAAGCCGTCTGGGAAAATAAAATTTTCAATATTTTACAATTGGAAAATCAAACTTAAATATTTAACTTTTCTCAGATGACTTACACGGAAGTCTTCCAGTCAGACGACTTACACGGAAGTCGTCCAGTCAGACGACTTACTTGAAAATCGTCCAAGAATACGCAAAGTCAATCAGATTTTTTTCCGAGATTTTGGTCAAACCTTGCCTATCTCGGACGTCTTTCTCGTAAGTCGTCTAACTGGACGACTTTCTCGTAAGTCGTCTAACTGGACGACTTTCTCGTAAGTCGTCTAACTAGACGACTTTCTCGTAAGTCGTCTAACTGGATGACTTTCAAGTAAGTCGTCTGAGAAAAGTTAAATATTTAAGTTTTATTTTTGAATTGTAAACTAACCTGAGAAGACTTACAGATAAGTCGTCTAGCTTTAATAAAATATTGAAATTTTTGTTTTCCCAGAGACGACTTACTGGTAAGTCTTCCACGAAAAGTCAAATATCTGACACAATTCGGTCAGTAAGTCATCCCATTTAAAAGTCATATGCAAAATTGACATGTTTGGACGACTTACTGGTAAGTCGTCTAAGTCTTCCAGAAGACTTACTGATATGCCGTCTGCGTCAATGTTTAGTAAACTTTCATTTTCTCTATGTGTTTTATTTTGAATTTTGGCAGATGATGCGTCAGTTACATGCAATGTATGGAAAAATTGTTGTTGAAAGATTGCTGTTGGGATTTTGTGGTTGATAATTTCAAAGGAGCAAGAATGTTTTTTTTTGAGAGAAGGTTCGACACATGCTGAACTTGTTGCAATGACTCGAGAAGATTATAACCTGGACATGCGTACATAATATCTGGAGATAACCTACTCATTACCAGCAGAAATGATGCAACAGATGGCTCTAGACACCCTTTATATTCATGTTACAAGTGATAGACAAGTTCAAAACTTACTCGAGATAACCAAAACACCTGGACTTTGTGTATCAAGTCGTAGCAAGGTGGAAACAGTTTCAGAGGAAAGGGAAGAAGATGATGAAGCTGATGAATGTTTTGAAGATGATGATGATGATTTGGTTGAAGATGAAAATCATGATGGGGAGGAGGATGCTGATATCTCTATTGTTGCTGAAGCGGACGAGAATGGTGAGGATTACATTGTTTATGGAAATGTTAAAGATGAGGATGAGGAAGAAGATGATGATATGTGTTTTGAAGATTTCAAAAAGATATATGCTATTGAAGTAGGAAGATCGAATGATAACAATATCTATGTCAACCAGAGTTTTGTTAGCAAGGATGCACTGCTTTCAAAGCTGCGGTTGACAACAGTGAGGCGTAAGTTCTTCTTCAGAATGTACAAGTCAACGAAAACTCTCCTTGTGGCAACATGTCGGATTAGTGGTTTTGTATGGAATATCAGAGCGAGTGTGAAACATGGGAAAAACACGTTTTGGGTAGCAAAGTATGTGGAAACACATACGTGCTCAGTGGGAGATCGAATCGTGCAGCAGAGATACTGTACTCCAAAGTATGTTGGTAGGCTTTTCATTGATCGTGTTGGAATCATTGATGGGTTGACTCCACGACATATCACTAATGCAATGAAGAAACTATTTTGCATGACGCTTGATTACACCACTTTATACGGAGCACTACTATATGCATAAACATTGGTGAGAGGATCAGCAGAGAATAGGTATTCGCGTCTACCATCATATCTTGAGAAAATCTCCTTAGCAAATCTCGATTCTATCACGGCTATAAAACTTGATTCTATCAATAGATTTAAGTATATAGTTCTCTCTTTTGGAGCTTTTATCAAAGGTTTTAAGTATCAGAGAAGGTGGTGGATGGGAATCACCTAAGTGGGAAGTATGGAGGTGTTATGTTAGTTGCAGCCGCAGAAGAGGGGAATTTTCAGATATTTCCAATTGCTTTTGGGATCGTAGATGCTGAAGAGGAACCTTCTTGGGAATGGTTTTTCACAAAATTAGCTAGTTGTGTATCTGATGAGCAGCCTCTGGTGATAGTCTCCGACCGGCACACGGCCATTAAAAGTGCGTGTGATAAGGTGTTTCCTTGGATAACCCGAGGAATATGTTATTATCACCTTCAAGATAACATTGTCAAACATCTCTTGTACTTGGTGAAAGATGCTGCTTGTGCTCATACGGTTTCAGATTTTGACCGGTACATGGCTGAGATACGGAGTGCAAACCTGGACCTTACAACGTATTTGGAGACGTCAGCCTATAGTCAAGGGTTTATTGTCAGGGGGACAAGTACAACATAAAAATAAGCAACATCGCTGAATCTATTAATTATGCACTGAAGCGAGCTAGAGGATTTCTGATTCAGTTCCTGTTGAGTTCATAAGGGAGAAGCTATGAATGTAGTTTTCGAAAAAGAGGGAAGACGCTTTGAGTCTCCCAACTAAACATAGTCAGGGTATTGAATACTTTCTTGTTGTTCGATCGGAGATAGCGGATACGATGAGGACCCAACCAATTGATGGATGGCGATTCTTAGTGAAAGGAGGCAATATGGACTGAGTCGTTGATTTGGAACATGGAAAGTGTGACTGTGGTGTCTATGTAGTGAAGAAAATACCTTGATCTCATGCTATAGCTGCTGGAACATATGATGGTTTGCATATCTCTACACTTGTATGTTCAGTGTACTCAAGATTATTTGTTTGCATGATACTCAGAGAATATATATCCTTGTGTTGGACAACAAGTTGAGGAACACACATGCTTTCCTCCGGATGTAAAGCGTGGTCCGGGGAGATTGAAGAAATCAAGATGACAATATTTGTTGGAGTTATCCAGGATGAGAGGACGCAAACACCAAAAGCAACACATGGCTCAAACTGCAGAA